GTTTTGCAAATCCCTTTTTGCTTATAATTCGAAAATGTTGCCTCCTGTTGCTTTTGGCATTTATTTGAATTTGTATCTGAATCTATGCGACTGCAACTGGGCGACATATTGTGCGTTTATATCATGGGGTTATGGCTTTTTTGGGGGTGGCACAAATCCTATGCACAACTTGGAATTTGTGCCAGGCTACAGATGGGTCAAATCCGGGAATGGAGTATACCAAATTCGACTCAAATTCTCTGCTGCTAACCGGTGCTGCTGATGCCGGTTCTCTGTCTGGTTACTCGTTTCACATCCCTGTTGCCCTGTGCATAACGCTTAACACTTAAGCTGCAACCGCGCACATACTACAGACCTTGCCACCCTGCCACCCACGCGTCCTTGGGGCCACGCAGTCCAGGACTTGGCTAACGGCAGTGCAGAATCAATTCGTTCATCATATGTATTTGTATTCGTATCTGCACCGAACTGAAGCTACTTTTCCGACCGACCAACAATCGCCCCCCCATTTCCCTACAGCTCTTCACCCCCGATAATGCAATGCCTCCTGTATGGGTTGATTACCAGGAAACTGTGCGACAATCTTGATGATTTAACACAGACTGTAGATGTACCAGCTGCACCAGTACCTGTAGCCATAGCAGTATCCATACCCATACCCAAAGCTGGCATTAGGTATGGCCTTGCACTTGCTAGGGGATGATTACAGCACGGGGGGTGGCGGATTATACAAATGTGCACTTGTACAAGACCAGATAGAGTACAGTTTGACATACATGTTCAAGCTTTTTGGAATGGCATGTTTTCAAAAGCGCAAATCATCTTAAAGATACATACTTTTTTCGCAAATGTAATTAAGTTACAAATATTTAGTACATAAACTTATATATATCTGCAACTTACTTGGTTGAAATTATAATAATACGCTGATTGGAGAAATCTTGGAATGTGCTTTAAATTAATTAAAATTAGTAAATTAATTTAAACTTGTATGGAACAGAAAATTATTATTTTGAGTATTATGAGCAGGTTAAAAAAATGAATGTGCGCAAATTAAAGTCTTATTTTTGTTTGTTAATAAACAAATTATATTATTGATCATAAGAAATGAAAGCTCATTAAATTGATCTCTGCTTCGGAAAGGAAATTTAGATTTCCAATAGCAACTGGGCATCAATTGTGAGGCTAAAAATTTAAATTAAAATGAACTGAAAGCCACGAACAAAAACACACACACAAAATGGCGATCTGTTTGGAATATGCATAATGTGAGGCGCGTATTTTTGAATGCTGAGCAGAGCATATGCTTATGTATACAGAAAACGCCGCCGGGCTTATGTCAGTTGGCGTTGGAGTAGCTACTGTGACTGCCATATGGGCGCAACAAAACGGACGGTGACCCTGGCAACTGCAATAACAATAATAATAACAACAACACCAACATCAATGAAGCTTCGCCCAAAACAACAATGGTCGAGTGGAGGTCAATTGGTGGCAAGTGTGATGAAGGAGGCGCAATGTGGAGACAGGGAGCGGAGGGGCTGTTCTGGCGAACGCGTTGATCCACAAACGTGTCGTTAACTAAGGCGCAGTGATTTTCAATTGCAGAACGCGGCACACAAGTACAGGATGTGCTTGTGTGTGTGTGTGTGTGTGTGTGTGTGTGAGGTTGTGGCACGTGTGTGTATGTGTGTGCATAAGCTTATAGGTGCCATTGCCATTCGTATCCACTGCAAGTGAGTGGGCCAAGCCAGGAGACAGGGACCAGGGTCTTTTTGTGGCTGCCTGCATATTGACAAGTGCGGCCGTTTGGGGATTTATTAAGGCTAACGTATGAAAATTTTGCATACTAAACGCTGAATAAATCGAATCGAATCGAAATGCGACAAATAAAAATTGCCTAAAAATGAGAACTCTGTTTGCAACAGTATTATTTCTGTGTGGGAATCTGAAACGGAAACAAAACAAACAGATTTACATATAAACACACAAACACACACACTCTGGCAGCTGAATGAAATGGCAATGTTAAATGACAATAATAACAACAAATATAACAACAGCAGCAACAACAGCAGCAACAGCAGACCCCCTACATTTTCGCATAGTCGCCTGATGTCGTTTTGCTGTGCAAATCCTCAAAATAACAGTACACAACACACACAAACACACACACTCCCACACACATGACTATTTGAGTGAGACATTCACAAATTCAAACAAAATTCAAATCTAACACACGTTTCTATCCCAACTAGCATCTGCCTTTCAATTCATCCTGGCCCCCGCACAGGCAACGATTTAGCAGGCAGCTTAACAGCAACAGGGACAATCATCCAGGACACGCATAGAACAGAACAGAACAGTTTGGCTTCCAACTAAAACTACTCTCGTGTAAATGCATTGCAGAAGATTTCAAAAATATGCTTTATAAATAAAGGATTTATAAGTGGAATTTATTCAAAGTAAATCTAAATTTATATGAAGTATAATTAATAATTTGTAAATACCTTCAAACATTTTTAAAGAATGAATATAAAATATACAAAGAAAAAAATATATAATAATAATAATACAATAATCAAGTAAACCCTAAGTGTTTGAGCGAAAGCTGAAACTGATTGGGTTAAGTGAAAATCAATTACGAATTAAATTAAGAGATTTTTTTGTTATTACATTTTGAATTAAAATTCGATGTTTATGAATTATCTTTAAGAACTGAAATTCAAAGAATCAATATGCAAAATATTCTACAAAATAATTGTACTTCTCTATTTATTAGAATAACATTTGAGCATTAAATTTGCAATCTGCTCAGAAATACACATACTTATGCCGTGAACTGTAACCACCTTTGTAAAATTACAGCAAATTCAGAGTTTTGTATGCAAACTAGCCGATTGAAAGCGACGCGCAGCAAAGAAACCATAAATTGGCCATAATACCAACGGCAACCTGTTGAGCCACTCCAAAAAAGAGCAGCAAACGCGTTGCGTATACGCCGCGAGTGCCGGGCAGAAGAAGCCAAGGAATAAACAGTAACTGGCACGCCTCCACAGTTACTTCCGCTGTTGTTGTTGTTACTCCTGCTGTTATTGTTGTTGCTGTTGTTGTTGTTGCTTTGTACGGCTGTGTTGGTCACAGCCACATGGCCTAAATAGCTCCACAAGTGTGTACTGACATTCATTTGACGCAACACACAGCCACAGTCCCCCAGGCCAACTAGCGCCCCTTGTGTAAGTGTATATATACATTCATGTGTGTGTATTTGTGTGTGTGTGTGTATTTGTATCCTCTCTCTCATGTCCTCTCTTGCTCTTGCCAGCCACAGTCAAAGCAAAAAATGTTTGTTTGCACTCACTAGGTAAAATAAACGTTATGAATGCTTCATATGCTTAATCCAGGGGATTTGGATGCATATACGATGAGTGTATATTGTGTTGTACTTGTTTTGTGTTGTTGCGTGCTGCTTTGCCAAGCTGAACCTGAATGGATCCCATCCAAACACACACACACACACACACACACACACACACACACACACCTACACATACATACAGAGTTCGAATAGACTTTGCCTGGACTTGTGTTGGTATGCAAAAGGATTTCAGTTTCGGCAATCGACAATCTAACTGACAGATACTGTAGCAGTTGTTGCATAAGTATCTGAATATGACACACACACACATACGATTTTGAATGGGTACTGGTTCGCTCTTTGTCCATGGCTAAACTAGTATTGATGAACTAAACAAGATTACCGCAACAGGGCCACTCAAAGATGCGACAACACAGCGAGTAAATGTGCAAGTGGATGCATGCCTGTGCTTGCTAGTGGTTATGTGTGTGTGTGTGTGGATGTGTGTGGCTATTTTAAATGCGTAGCAAATCAGAATCGCAGGTCCACATTCTACTTATAACTAACTATATGTGCGTCAATATATAGCTCAGTTAAAGTTGCACAAATCCTTAAAGCTGCCTCTGATTGAACCCCACATTGCACACATAATCACCAGTTGCGAGCTGAGAGTAGCGAGTAGCAAGTGGCTTCGGCCACTGGCATTTTTATAATGATGCGGCTGCCTCTATTATTGAGCGCTCCACTGAAGCTGATGGACGGTTTCTGTCTCGCATAGCCGGATTAAGGGTATTTGTGCGCCAGCACGGAAATAGCAAAGCGCTCTCTCCCCTCCCTATTTCCCATTCCCCGTTGAGCTGTTGCGGCTGTGGCAGGCACAGACTGGCTGGACGGGATTTGGACTCATGGATTTATGTGATTTATGCAACTGTTGTTTCGATTTAGTCGAAATTTGATTGTATTTTCTAATGCAACCCCAGCAAATACTTGAGCATGTTAACAGTTTTGTGGTTAGAAGTTAGCATTTATGTAAATTTTGTTATTTAATAAATTTTGTGTTCACATATTTCTCATTTAGTAGCAATTTGGCAAATATACATGAGAAATAAATATAAATAATGTTATTAATTATATGACACTTTTAATAAATGTTTATGCATATAAATAAATCTTAATTAATAGGTTTTTTTAATTCTCTTCTTTTTAATTTTGTGCGTATTTGTATTATGTATGTATTTTTTACATAGATTAAGGTTTCTTCTCTTCTTAGAGGTATTAAAAAGATTTAGGTGACGATTTGGTATACAAATCTGATAAACAAAATCCGTCGGTGAAACATAAACGTTTAAAGGGTTTCAGTTAGCTTGTTGATGAATGCAGAATAAAAAGAATTTTCTTTTAAATTTACATAGCTTAATTTGTCTTGTATAAGCCATTTATGAATGGCAAATATTTATGTTTGGAGAGCTAATTAATACTAATTGCCACTATCTTTCCTCTCTATATGTATTTATATAAATAAATATCTATATAAGGTTCGTCTCTCTTGCTCACTGCCTTTTATTTACTAGTCTTGTAGCTAGATCCATTTAATAAATTTATGAATAATCAAATTGAATTGAAAGCCAAGTTGTCTACTCACGATTCACTTTGCTGACATCGAAGTCACGTCGGGAATCCAGAGCCGGATGGCTGAGCAGCTTCTCGGCCTGCTGCTGGGCCTGCACGCCCACGGCCATGCCCAGAGCAGCGGGTGGCAGGCAGGAGATGCTGCCACGCTCCTCGCGCTCACTCTTCGGCGTCGCCGCGAGGGATGCATTCTGACTAGAGCCCGTCGATGAGGACACCGCAATGCTGCTGCCAGCATCCGAGTTGTGCATATGTTGCTGTTGCTGTTGCTGCTGTGATTGATGCAATTGCTGTTGCTGCTGTTGTTGTTGCTGTTGTTTTTGTTGGTGCTGGTGCGGCCCAAGCCCCAAGGCCGGCGGGCTGCCCTCTGCGGAACGTCGACTTGCGGCATTCGCTGACTCTGTGCTAGACTGTGACTGCTGCTGCTGCTGCTGTTGTTGTTGCTGCTGCTGCTGATGATGCTGATGCTGCATCTGCAGCTGGGTGAGCTTCTCCTGCACGCCCTGTAGGGATGCACGTCTGTGCTGCAACTGACCAGGTCCAGTGCCGGCCTCTTCGGTGATGACGCTGTGCGATGGCGACAATGAGTGTTCCTTCTTGACGACCATGTCCATCAGACTGGCGGCAGCCGAGGGTGATTTGGCATTGACATTGGCGTTGGCAGCAGCCACCACAGCCGCCGCATTGGCTGCTCGGGTGAGGGCCAGTGCTTGGCTCTGTAAAAATAAACAGTAATGAAATTTATTGAGTTGTATTCTCGTAATAGATTTAAATTAACAATCTGATGAGCCTGGCCCTAAGACTGTGACAAATTGGAAAGATAATCGTATCGCTTACAATCATAAGACCTGTGGTTCTCTGTCTATATTTTAATTTAAGCTTACCATAAATTATATTAAAAATTGTTTGAAAATGCAAAGTTTGTGATCAAAAAATTAGGATTAGAAACAAAAGTCACCGGGTACGATTTCTAATTTCATTTAAAATCCGTCTTAGCAGTAATCAAATGTATGATCATCTTGAACAATTTTAGAACTAGATTCATAGGAAAATTGGATTATAGACCGAAAACTTTCTTCAAGATTTAGAAGAAAAATTGCCTACAAAGATTGGAAAGACATTTAGGTCTTTCACAATTTGATAGCCGAAGTCGGATTTGTTCCACCTATTCTTAGCTGTCATATCAATGATCTTACTGATTTCATTTGTAGTACATATGTATACTTATAAACATCAAGAGTTGTTCAATTTAAACCAACATTTATTTGCAGTGCTGAAGACGATTTAGTTGAGTATTCGAGTACCTATTGTAGCTGTCTATTTATTTGCTTGTGCTTTTGTTTGTCCAGCTAAGTGTTGATTTGTCTGCAATGCGAAATTTCACTTTATTCTCTGCAGTTGAAAATAAACACACACTGAAAACAACCCAAATTTGCTGTATTGATTGATTAAGTCGCCAATGGGGCAAGCTCTCATCGATAGTGGCAGCTCAAAAGATCCAAAGCGTTTCAAGAGTTCAGCTCGAAGCTCCGAAGTCTGACAGGCGTTGATTTCTATTGATTTGTGCGGGGCTCGTTTGGGGCGCCGATTTGTTTGCTTTCTATAATTTAGCAGGTAATTTGGCGAATCACGAAATTGTCTTTAATGACGCGAGGCTTAAAGCCCCAACGATAACCCGCAACCCGCAACCCGTTGCCCGCACCACGAATCACCAATCTTCTCTTCTTTGTCGCTCAACGGAGCGTAACTAAATTAATGTTTCTGGACCGTCGCCTCACTCTCTTCGGCCATTAGGGAGCTATTTTTTATTTTATTTTCTCCTTTTTTCTTTTTTTTTTTGCTTACAATACTCGCATTATCATACTATTAATAACCGACAGCATTGAAATCGAGTGGCAAATGGCACATGGAAATCGAAATAAGCGACGGCTTTCAGTCTGTAGTCTCTGTGGCAGCATCTCAGGGCCAGTCCCACTCGTAGGCACCCTAATTATAGCGGTGCTACCGTTTACCGTTTGTGCGCAATCACTTTGGGGGCGGGGAGGGGGAGCTGATATTCGCCTGGCACGCAAGGAATTCCTACAACAGCCTACACACACAATTTTTTTTGGTTGTGCGAGACGACGAGGAGAGCAAACCCAAAATTATGGCATTCGCATTCATTTGCGGATCTGCTGTGCTGATCGTGTGGATAAACTTAAATCGAGCCGAAGCGAAGGTTGTCTAAGCACCATAACCATAACCTCTGCCTGGACTGGGGCTCCTGTTTCTGCTTCTGCTTCGACTTCTGCGTTTCACTCGCCTCTGGCTAGTTTGTCAAATGCCGGGCAAAAACTTGCCGCAGCCCCAATTGCCAAAAATGCGATCCAAGTGCTTAGCAAAATGATAAACTAACTGGATACCCTGGCAAAAATGGGTGTCGTTAGCCGTAAACTTATTAAGTTATGAAACATTCGTTGCATATATTTGTATGGGTCTCGTTCGCTGCACTAATACAATAATATTATTAATAAATTGTGTGTTAAAGATGATTAATACATTAATTTCTATTTGCAATGTCCTCATATATTTCAATGATCTATGCCTATGTTTTGTCCACTTTGTGTGCAGGGTATAAACATGAAAAAGGGTAGTCAGTGGTGCAACAACATTGGCATCTACATCATCAGCGTCCTCGTCATCTTAACATCAACATTCACATCCACATCCACATCCCGATCGAACGGCGTCTGTTTTCTACAGTAGCCGCGTCGAGTTAGCGATCAGCGACAGCAGCCATCGATCTTATGTTATAATCATCGTCAGAGCCCTGGCCAGCAGAAAATTCATTTACGCTTTAATCAATTTCATTCAGAGAGCCAGCCACCGCCTCTGCCTATGCATTTGCCAAAGATTGCACAGGACTGAGACAGGGGCCAAGTGGCCATGTGAGGCTCAAATCGAGCAACTTTGCCTAAGGCAACCGCCGACAATTTCAGCTTACATAGTCTGTATGTGTATGTGTACATATTACGACTGCGACTGGGGGTCCAGGCTCAGTGCCACGCCCCATTGTTGGCTTCTGTTGGCCACATGTCAAAAAATTGACGAAAATTCGATCAAAAATTTTAATTGATCGCCCTGCAGTGATTCGCTCACAAAATTGATCTTGCTGTGCGTAATTTTCGGTTGCTCCAGACTGAAGACTCGTGTTGTGATTATGTTAATAGAGGTAGCCTCCCGATTGCCACCAGCCCTCCCCCCCTTTAAAATGCCTCCCTTAATGCAGCTGAACAACGATTGAAGCGTTGGCGCTCAACACAGCCGGAAACTGATTTGCCAGCGGCACAAAATGCCAATAATAAAACATACTATGTGTGTACGTAGTATACATATAGACCACACTTTACTTCTTATGCAGCTGATCCTGCGACTGGCTCATAAAATGCTAATCTTTCATTTTTGCTATAACTACCGATATATCAGTGTGCTCCAGATCTCAATGAAGCCCTCGACTTCTTGCACTTATCCAGCGCGCATCGCAAAGTAAAGGCATTTTAATATTAACCTGTCAAAGGCCATAATTGACAACGATTAACTTTGTCTTTTGTTCGAACAGCACAGAAAATTTACATTTTTATGGTTCAATAAAATAAATCAGCGCGTACAGCAAGACCAGGCACAGCAGCAGCACAAAAGAAAAGAAAAGAAAAGAAAATGGAATGGAAGAGTTGTTGTACTATAAACGCAGCACAGTGGCTACCAAAAGTAATTGCAGCACATAATAATCTCGCATTTAATAATCCTCATTAAAGCGCAAAATCACGTCGCAACAGCCCAGCCAGCCAGCAAGGGTATCAAAATAAAAATATGCTTAAGCAAAATGTGTTGTTGTTGCTGCTACTCCAGGCAATCTTAACTTGTAGAAATATCACCACCTCAAAAGGGACTCAACTGAACCGAAGTGGACTAAAGTGAACTGGCTATAAGTTTGGCTGTGTCTGTGGCTATGGCCAAAATTAGAGGGACCCAACATTTTTCGGCTGACCAAAATACAAAATTCCAAACAAGCAGCCGAACAAGCGCTGAACTGCTTCTGTTCTGTCCTTTTGCACCGTACCCCAAAAAATGCCAGTGTGTGTGTGTGTGGATCAGGGGGAGGAAGGGAGTGGTCATGTCTTACAGGGGGCTGGCAGTCCGGAGAGCTCACATCAATCGATGATATGATGAGCTGACGTTTGGGTTGACGTTTGCTTGTCGTCAATACGTCGCCCTAATAACACGTCGCAACAGGTAGTCCCCGGCCATCAAGCGGACGGACTGAATCTGATTGCGACACAGATACAACAGCAACAACTACAACAATATCTGCAGACGAAGATTCAGATATAAATACAGATGCAGAAGGGAGCTAAATAACTGAGACGGAACCATCGTTTTGGGCGCTGCGGAATTTCAGCAATTGCATGAAAAATATGAAATTAGTTGGCTGTGTGGAAAAAGTCGTCAAACTGAAGCTGAAACACAAACTGAAACTCAAGCTCAAGAGTCAAAGTCAGAGTCAGAGTCTTCACTCTTTAGTTCTTCTTTACTTGCAACTGCTACTGGATTTTTTAATGTGTTTTAATCATCAGAGCAGTTGCCTGCTGCCTGTTAAACTACTCCCTTCAATCACCCTACCCTCCTCGGCCGTTGCTCTGTGCGGACTAAATTGTTTTTTATTATCGCTCGCTGCGTTCGCTCTGGCGATTTTCATCTCTGATCCTTGGCATCGTGGCACATTCCGTTGGGCTATAAATCGTTTTGCCTGGCACCATGGCGCTGATGCCTGTCCCCTGTCCCTGTCCTTGTCCTGGTTCGTGTCCGTGTTTGTGTTCGTGTTCGTGTTCTGGTTCTTGTCCTTGGCAATATCATTTGATTTAGCAGCCATAGGCATTAATTGTTTTTGTGTCATTTAATCAGTTTTCAAGCGACTGCTGCGTGATGCGAATACCAAATGTGTATTTTGATTTCATGCTGAACATCAGCAACTCTTCAGTCAAAGAGCTCTTGCGAGAGCGGCAGATAAAGTTGTAAGCTTAACTCATTTGTGATTGTGTGGGTTCCTCAATTAGTTGCCATAACTTTAATGCACTGCAATTGCTAAGTGGCAATGAGTGAAGTGAGGCAAGTTCTAAATATAAACATAATATTATCCCCTTATGACTGGGTGATTCTAAAAATCGGTTACTTGATCTGATCGTATCTAATGCGGTCTTCGACTTTAATCTATTTAATTAATCTGCTGTAGTTTAGTTGTGGGTCTTGGCATACAGATAATAAAGCTATCAATGAAATGGGGGAATAGCTATAAATATAGGATTGTAGGTGATTAAAAGAATAGATTATAGATTGGACCGGCTTTCTGCTAATCGTATTCTGAATTTCATTTGGTTTGGCCTTCCACCTAAAGTCTATATACTTAATCTTCTTGTGATTGTTTGTCTAGGTAAACAGATTACATTGCTTTGAAAGTTTCCCTGAATAGTGACTGCATATGAAGTCTAAACTTAGATGCAAAATATTAGATTTAACCTACACCAAGTGCTGTTGATCATTGGATGCACGCGGATTCTTCAAGTCTTTGTCATAGCTGATTCTAATTGCACAGTTGTCACTGTCACTTAACGTGTCGCTGTCGTGTTGTCTGTCAGTTGTATTCCTGTAGTAGGCGTTGATGGTCGATCGATCAGCGAAG